ATAGTTTTTTACTTAATATTATGTTGAGTCCATCTTATTAAAAAAATCCCCTGGACAAAAACATGGCGATATAAAAAAAAAAATCTCTTTACCTGATGCACATACTCATCCATACTAGAAGGCATGTCGAAGTTGACAACTAGCTTGACATTGATCAAATCCAGGCCTCGTCCCAGGACTCCTGTGCTTACTACCACATCATAGTCTCCTTCAAGCAATCCCTTTCCAAAAACAAAAAAAAAAATTCAACATTTATCATGAAGACTTTATTTCATGTGGTTGCACTTAGCTATCTTATCTGTGGAAAATGTTTATTTCAGTATTGTAGTTATCTTCAGTAAGGAAAGACCATCATACACTTGAAAAGCATATGTAAACTAAGCTTCCCCACTCTCATTACAAATTGTCAGTAAGTAATCAGTTAATGACAGCAACACCGTATGTTTGAGGGTAGAAATGAGCTCTACGAAAGCATCAGAGTTTTTAAGGCTATCATCTTTGGGGAGCAGAGAACCAGGCCTCTCATCTGAGGTGCCTCTGAGTGGGTTCATACCACCAAACTTTTGGTTAATAGTTAAGGGTTTAGTTGTTTGTGCCACCCAGAGACTTTCAAGTTCTTCCCAACCTTCATTAATTGTACTTTAATAATTTAACAAAGCAAACTTTTCCAAAGGTAAAACTACTGTTTTGTCCCAATCCAAACTGACCTGATTTCAGAAATGGTGGAATCTGAATTTGTGATCTATTTAGTACAGACTCCTTAGAGAACAAAGCTGGTTGCTCCCAAGACACAGAAGCCTAAGCAAAAGGAACAATTAACTTCATAGTCAATGCCTGCCTGAAATGCTTAGATTTATTAAAACACAGTGTGCTTTTAAAAACAGCTGGTAACAATAGACTACTACACAGCACGCAGGAGTAATGATTTTGTAAATCACTATCTAACTTGGGAGGGACTGGAGAGTATTATGCTAAGTGAATGAACTCAGTCCCATAAGGACAAATACTGTATAGGCAACTATTTGTAGACCATGTATGAAGATCCACGGGGAGAGGGTGGGAGCAGAGGGGTGAGAATGGGTGAGGATGGGTAGGGTTGGGGGGTGGGAGGGTTAATCACAGAGTCGCACAATTTGATGGGTGGAGGGAGGAATGGGTAAAGAAATGGGATCTGGTGTGGAAAACTATGTATACAAACTTTGTAAGTAAACCCGAAAATTAAAACTTTATTTAAATTTTAAAAAAAGAAATAAAAACACCTGGCAAGATGGTGATGTTTGAAATAGGGTAAAACAGGTTTATGGGGAAGAAAAGCACATAGACTATTGAGTGTCAAACCTTCAATATGTTCTTCCTCTCTATCTGTGGCTTCTCTGAATGCATCGATATACTCTGTAGGCCTGTGACTTTCTGAACTGCCTCACTCAGCAGATCAGCTCCCAACCTGCAGTCCACAAATACCAACACTGGAGGCTTAAAGAGTTTCTTATCCTGAGAAAAATGAAAAACACATTTTTAACAGTTTCCTATAACATTATTTACAATTGAAAGTTTTTCTGAAAGCATTTAGAGCAGGCTGCTTATCAATGATGTTGCGATAATGCACCATCGAATCAGAAATGACTCATAGCTGACCCTCCAGCAGGTTTTTCTACATCGCATGGGAGACTGCCTGTCTTTCTCCCATAAGAGAAGCTTGTAGATTCTAAATGTGTGCCTTTGGACTGGCAGTGCAATTCTTTACCACTAAGCTTCTAGAGCTCCCTGTTTAACAGTTGTTGTTGTCAGGTGCCGTCGAGTCGAGTACAACTCACAGGGACCCTATGAACAAAAGATCCTAACCCTGTTCTATTCTGTGCCATCCTCACACTTCCTGACACACAAGAGTCCATTACAGCAGTCACCGTGTCAATCCACCTGGTTAAGGGTCTGTCTCTCCTTCACAGACCCTCCACCCTTCCCAGCATCATATCCTTCTCCAAGGAATAGCTTATCAGTAGGTTTCGAAATATTAGAGAGGAGAAGCATATTCTGTTAAAAAGAGGATTCTTTTTAAAATGCACAAACAAAAGCCTGTCTACTTGCCTTCACATTCTGTAGCATTTTTTAATGATATAAAAATAATTAATGTATTTTAAGTAAAACCAATATAAATTAAAAATTATTCAAAAAGTAAAAAACTACATATATCATACGTCTATAGAGTATACAATATGTTTATACCTCATAAATATCACACATCTATATATCATATATTAGAATAACTATGCTATCCACACATTGCTCATTTAGTAAATACCTTCTAAGTGGGCTACAGTTGAAAAATTCTCTTTCTTATGCACAAAGTTTTAAGAGACCTTGATTTCCTTCTCTGAAGCTTACATATAAAACCTACTGGGAATGGTTAAAATAATAAAGACTTCTTAACACATAATCTTTATATATAAATGTCTTTTTATAATAAGGAAAAGAAAAAAAATCAACCTGTATTTAAATGACAGCTTTTATTATTTTCACCAAAAGCAAAAAAGAAGAAAAAGATTCACTTGATTCTCACAGAATTTTGTGCTAGGTAAATCAATTTCTTAAATACTTCCAAAGTCACACCTAAGAAGCATTACATTAAGAGCTGTTGGAAAATTACATTAAGGTCCGTAAAATGGGAGTGACTGCTTTACTCACATTTAAGATCTCAAACAGTTTTTTCTTTTTGGATGGCTCTTCTACCCATAAAATAATCTGGCGTACATTGGGACACGGCAGGTTCTCTTCCCCTGTGGTAATTCTCACAGTATTATGCAGAAGCTGACTTGCTAGTTGCTCCATGCTAGCTGGAATTGTGGCTGAAACCAAAATGGTCTGACAGTCATCAGGAATGTTTTCCAGAATGTCAAGCACCTGTTGTTGAAAGCCCATCTTTAACATGGTATCAGCCTAAAAGAAAACCATCTGAAAGTTAGTATTGATTGGCATTAAGACCCAGAACCATTCTAGGAAATCCTGATATAATTAAGAGCATGAAAAGAATAAAAATATTTTCATAGGAAAATAGAATGTCAAAAGAAAAAATGTCAAGACAAATGACAAGACATATATATATATATAATAATTTATATACAAGATATGTATGGTGACAACAATTATGCAAAGATTTTCACTATAAACCAAAAAAATCCAGTCACTAAGTGGATTCAGATTCAGAGACCTCTCAGGTCAGCACAGACTTTTCCCTAAGGGTTCCCCTGGCTGTAAATATTTATGGAAATCATCCTCCTGTACAGCAGCTGGTGGACTGGAACCTCTCGACTGATGGCTGAGGGGTTAATCACTACACTAACAGGGCACACTTAGTTCACTATAGCTTTAATAGTAGCCTAAAACCACACAGATCCTAATCGTCAGTTATTTGATAAATTAATTATGGTATACATATTGGAACACTAAGCTCGGGGAGCTCTGGCGGCGCAATCACTAGGGAGTTATGCTGTCAACCCAAAGGTGGACCCAGAATTCAAACCCACCAGATGCTATTTCCTCCTGTGCAATTTATGGCCTCTGAAAACCCACTGGAGGGTCAACTATGAGTTGGTTCCAACTTGACAGCTGAGAGATATTTTGGTTTTAAAAAATATTCTGAAGTTCCCATGAAATGACTGTCTAACAGACTTAAGTTGATGAATCATTCTTTTTTTGAAAAAAAAAACATGTTAAATAATTGCTGTTATGATTGTATGGTGCTGTCGCATTGTGTATGAACAAAAGATCTGAACCCTGTTCTATCCTGTACCATCCTCACACTTCCCGACACACAGAGTCCACTGTGGAAGTCATCATGCCAATCCACCTGGTTTAGGGTTTTCTCTCTCGCTGACCCTCCACGCTTCCATCATGTCCTTCTCCGAGGTATAGCCCCTCCCAGCAAAATGCCCAAAGTGTGTGAGATGAAGCCTCATCCTTCCTGCCTCCAAAGAGCACTCTGGCTGCACCATCTCCAAGACATATCTGTTTGTTCTCTTGGCCGCCCATGGTATCTTCAGTGCTCTCTTCCAACACCACAGCTCAAAGGCATCACTACTTTTTCTGTCATCTCTATCCACTGTCCAGCTCTAAGATGCATAGCAAATGATTAAGAAAGACTACGGCCTGAATCAGATGCACTTTAGTCCTCAAACTGACATAAATGTCCCTCAATAAATTGGAGAGCTACCTAACTGCAGATTTTCCCAGTGCAATGCATCTCCTTATTTCCTGACTGCTGGTATCACGGGTGTTAATTGTGGATCCAAGCAAGATTAAGCTGATGACAGTTTCAATCTCTCTCCATCCATCATGATGTTGCCTATAGGTTCAGTGGTAAGAATCTTTGTTTTCTTGACACTGAGATGCAATCCATACTGAAGGCTGCATTCCTTGACTGGTTTTTATTACCAGTATTTTTATAAATCCAATCTTTGTCTTTGGGAGCTGGAAGCATTCTATGTCAACTAACAGATATGATGCCATCTGCAAATTATGCATTGTAACAGTGTACAAAAAAAGGATAATTCATAAGTACAGTCTTCTGTAACCTGAAAATCAAATAAATGAAAAATCATGTATTAGGGATTATTGGTTTCTACATCAGGAGTCCTGGGGAACATAGCACTCAACTGCTAACCCAAAGGTCAGCAGTTCAAAACCACTAGTTGTTCCATAGAAGAAAGATGTAGTAGTCAGTTTCCTGAAAGATTACTTCCTTGGAAACCTTATGGGGCAGTTCTACTATGAGCCACTACTACTTCGGTCCTGCTACTAGAAGTCAGAACTGACTCAACAGCAATGAGTTTTTAATGAGTTTACTTCAGAAGATAGATATGTGGATGGATGAGGTAAAGCGTATATACTTAGAAGAGCACACCAGGTTCAGACATTTTAATTCATTGTGAGACCTAGAAAATATACAGACACATTGTGTGTCTTCCAAACATTCTTCCTCTCCTTTTCCATAATGAAAGCAGGGAGCATCTCAGTGGACGGCCAGCTCTTGCTACTACTGGTCATTAGAAATCAATTTCTTAGCTTCCCTTTTCACTCGGGCTTCCTGAACGAGCAGCCTGAGCATGCTGTCTCCATCCCTCTACTCTCAGTCCTGGCTCTTGGATCCACTAGTTTCTACTTCTCTCACCTTATTTCAGTCACTCAGCTCGGCTTCAGGCCATCAACAACTTCCCAGCTGTCAAATCCAACAGCTAATTACTGGGCTTCAGTTTATTCCTCCCTGCCTCAAATCTTTTTTTATTTAAAGATATTACTTTTTCTAATAATAGATGCAATGCATTTCTAAAACTTGGCAGATACAAGTTTGAAGAACTAAACTTCCATTATCCCACACTGCAGACATCACCACAGCCTCACCTACTTTCAGTCTCCCAAGTATGTTTAGAAATCTGTCCCTCCAGCCCACGCCATACTCTTTTCTCCACAAGCAGCCGGATAGCTCTTTCTACACTACAACAAATTAGATCTTGCTACTATTTTGCTTAAATTCTCCAGTGGATTCCTACCATACTTACAATAAAATCTATCTCCTTATCATGACTTAAGTATCCTCCAAGTTCTCATCCTTGACTACCGCTGACTTTACCTCTTAACCACTCCGGCCCTCATACCCTTCCCAAACCTGTCACACCACCTTCCTGTCTGTCCATAAATACCTCATGCTTGGACCCTAAACAAGACGGACTGACATCTTGAATGGGCTCCGGCATGCCAGAGTGAGGAAGAGGCGGGATAGGGCAAGGTTCAGATTTGTCGTTCACATGGTCACCACGAGTTACACAAACCATCTCACACTGTCATGTCACTGCTGTCAGGACCAACTCAGAGCTGACCCTCCAGCAGGTTTTTGGAGGCTATAAAGTGAAAGGGAGGAGACTGTCCACCTTCCTCCCACAGAGCAGCCGGCAGATTCATTCAGAGGTGCGTTCTTGTGGCCAGCAGTGCATTAGTCTACCTGTCTATCTTATCTGAACAATCTTCCCTCCGGATGGACCTTCTTATGACTAGGTCTTCCTCAATCACTTCAGCATAAAGTCACATGCTCAGAAAACACTCCCCTGAGAATCAAGCTAATCCTCCCATACCCACCGTATTACCTTGTGTATATGTGCCACAGCTCCATGAGACACAGTGTTCCCCTACCTCACTTTGCACTGTTTCCCCAGAACTAACATCTGTTGTTGTCGTTATAAGTGCCTTCGAGTTGCATGCAACTCATAGCAACCCTATGAAGGAGAGTCCTCAACGCTTCATCCTCTCTCCAGGTTCATAGGGTTTCCAGAGGCAAGCTATTATGGAAGTGGATGCCGCTCCTCCTTCCAAGAACTAACATCTACTGACCATTAAAAAAAAAGAAATTCTAAAAATGCATTTGATAAACATACATTCATGAATTCATAGCACTCAACAAGAAACTAATTACATTAGGCACTTTTTAATTTTAGTCTGTATGTACCAATCTTTCTTTAAGATAAGAATCACAGAGAATGAGCTTAAAGGATTCCTGGGCCCCAGCTCAGAGCCAAACAAAACACATGTAAAACCCATAGTTGTAGAGTTGATGCCGGCTCACAGCAACACTAGAGGACAGAGCAGAATTGCCCTACAGGGATTCTCAAGCTGTAAATTTTACAGAAGCAGATTAGTACCTTTTTCTTCCAGAGAATGGCTGGTGGTTTTGCACCTCTAACTTCCAGTTATTTCATCACCCTGCCACCAAGCCTCCTAATGCAGATTTCCAAGTGAGAGGTAGGGTCATCTACTATAATCACTGACTTGGGAAAAACACTATGCTCGATTTCAGGGATACAGAGGTGAACTAACCCAATATGACACAAACAATGACGTCTATAAAGGGCTCAACAGAGCAGGACAAAAGTGGGCTGGAAGCCTGTAGGAAGGTTTCATGGAGGAATTAAGTATTCAAAGAAGGACGAGCAGATGCCTGGAGTAGGAGAGCAGAGACTGGGATGACCAAACCCTCAAAAGTGGCAGATGAGATTCTTCTTATTCCAAATTATCTGTTTTACATTTTTTCCCTTCCCCTCTTCTCAAGGACTTTTGTGGCCTCATCCCCCTTCTTGAAACAGTATCTTCCCTATTCTTCAGGGATATTAATTTCCAGTTCCTCTCTGATCTCTCAAACTACTTACTGACTCATCTTTATACTCCAGGTCCTCCCTCAGCCCTAGTCCTGATCTGTCTCTGCTCATTTCTCTCTACTAAGCTTCCTCCCTTAGAGAAGCCACTACATCTCACAGGTCTGACACACATCCCCTATCTAACAAAAATTTTCTTTGTGACAGCCCATGACATGACCAACATGTCTAAAATCAAACTCAAATATTACCAAGATCCAGTCCTTTGCCTGCTTAAAAAAAAAAAAATGAAAGGCACAACTATTGAATATAATTTATGGTGTCACCTCTAAGCTTTCCTCTCCTTCTTCTCTCCTATTCATAAGACTCGCTAATTATTTCTTTCAGTGATTCTCAGATGCAACTGCCTCTCCTTGATACTAACTGCCTCCACCCTGCCTCTGCCCCTTCCTATCTTTTACGTGGATTGCCGGCTACTCTGTCTGATTCTTTCTTCTTTAATTTCTCTTGCAAGAGCAGCAGAATTTACATTCTGAAACCACCACTTTCAGCATGCTACACCCTAACTCAATAATTTAAAAAGCCTCATTGCCTGCCACATCAAACCCAAATTCTTCTGTCTCCTGTACAAGGCACTCTATAATTTCACCCCACCCTGACTACTCCGCTTTACTTCCTATTATTTCTCAAGACCGTCTCAAGCTGGCATGTCTCTTTTCTGCCTTCGCTATTCACAGAATTTTGATTTTCCTTCTCACTTTACATTATTAGTCTCTTTAGCTGGAATACTTGATGCAGACCCTAGTTTTCAAAACCCTTTCTCAATTCTTGAGGCCCATGTCAAATCATCTTACTTCTGAGAAGTCATTTTTTGAAGCACCCATAAGTTTATTCTCTCATTTCTCCTCCCACCCTTGTTTGTTTTATCTAGTTAGCATATCATAGACAGTTTTATGTTACTTATGCCTATACCAGAAGTCAACAAACAGGGGCTCAGGGGGAAAATTCAGCTGCTCTTTTTAAAGTTTGTTTAAACAATCACATATATTATAAATCAATGATGTTTGTATTAGGGGAGCTCCAGTGGCTTCGTGGTAAGCACTTATACTGTCAAACATAAGGCATACAGTTTGAATACCAGCTGCTCCCCAGGAGAAAGATGGACAATCTTTTCCTGTGCCATCTACTGCCTCTGAAAACTTGCTCGAGAGTCACATATGAGTCAGTTTCAACTAAGCACTACCCATCAAACATGCTTGTATTAAGAACATTAGTGGCCTAGTGTATTATATGTTGGGTTGCTAACCAAAAGATCAGCAGTTCAAACCCACCAGCCATCTCGCAGGAGTATGATGGGATATGCCTACTACTGCAAAGATTTACAGCCCCTGAAACCTGCTGGAGGGTGGCTATGCGATGGAACCAATCTGGTGGCAGTAGGTTTGGTATGCTGGTTGTATCTTAAAATTAACATTGTTACTCTTGCTGTGTAAGTTCAAGCTGGAACCAACCCACAGCTGACCCTTCAGCAGGTACCATATTACCCATCCTTCTCCCACAGAGCAGCTGGTGGAGTCAAACCATGTGCCTTGGCGTCAGCAGAAAAATTCCTTACCATGAAGCCGTCAGAGCTCCCAAATAACAACATTTCTATTTTTATTACTTTTAGTCTATCTATTTGAATATAAACATATAAAATAGAGACTGTTTTCTGGGCAGGAATGTGCAGGAAAAAGAAGCAAACAGAAACGCGAACCCACAACACAGAAATTTGAGAAGGGCTGATATGTAATGGGAAAGGCAACCAAGGTCACAAACAAAATGCATAGAAATTACTCAGTGGAAAAATCTAAAAAGAAAAAAGGAAATAATTCGAAATATCAAATGTTTCAAATCTTAAGAAGAATACAGTGTTGTTGCTGTTGTTATGAATCGACCCATAGCTGACCCTCCACCGGGTTATCAGAAGCTATCAATTATACCAGAGAAGACTGCCTATCATTCTCCCATAGAGCTCATGGATTTGAACCAAGCGCATGCTTCTGCGTTGACAGGGCAACTCATTATCACTAGGCCACAAGAGCTCCTTAAAAATACAGAATCCACTGATTTTGAGTGTTCTGTTAATGAGGAGAGGCCCTGCTGGCAGAAGTGCATGACACATTGGGCTTCTAGCTTTCTCACAATAGAGAGAGATGGGCAGTCTTCTTCTGTAAAGATTTACTGCCTTGAAAACTTGATGGAAGGTCTCTGAGTCAGATCCAACGTGATGGTAGTAGGTTTGGTTTAGTGGCTGTAGCATAGTTTAACAGTTCAAATCCAGCAGCCGCTCTGGGGGAGAAAAGATGGGTAGTCCACTCCCGTAAAGACTTACAGCCTCAGAAACCCAATGTAACACAGAATCCAAATTTGGAACTATCACTGAGATTTAACAAATAAATAAATCTGAGTTTTTCTTTTCCTTTGGGAAAGAAAATATCTGAATACACAATTGAAATATTTAACTATTATATATTTTTCCACAATTATATAATCAATGTTTTTTAAACACTACTACTTACTTCATCTACTACTACAATGTTTATATTGCAGAGTTCTACAGAGCTCTGTTTTATTATATCCAGAAGTCGCCCAGGGGTTGCTATGATAACCTGTGTGAAAGAGAAAAAAAATTTTTTTTTAAAGACCAGAAATTAGATAATATTATTACTCTATTTCTAAGTACATATGTTGCTGTTGCTTTTGTACAGTAGAGTCGGAACAGACCATAGCTGACCCTGGAGGATTTTCAGAGGCAGTTAATCACATGGGAGGAGACTGCCCATCCTTCTCCCACAAATATATATATATAAATACATAATACTTCATACTTATTTACTATGTACCAGATATTGAGTTTAACATGTGAAATTCAACAATAAAGTAAAATACAATTCCTGATCATTACATAACAGAAAAGACAACACAAATACATGCTCATGAGGTAAGTCTAGTATGCAGTTAAGAACTCAGTGCTGAAGGACCAACCCAGCCCCAGCAGCGCCCCAGTAGTATAGTGGTTACATGTTCAACTACTAACCAAAAGATTCAGAACTTCAAAATATTGGGTCCTCACCTTCCTTGTGCTTTGTTTGTGACCTTCCAACCTTATCTCACTCCCATTTTAACCCAAAAATGCTGTGACCCATTCATTCAGTCACTTAACGCACCTTCCCATCTTTTCCACCTGGCTAGCAAAAGCCAAATGATTTGCATGAATGTCAATTTCTCCTACCACATCTGGTCAGATCAATTCAGCTGGAATAAAATTACTGTACCGGCATCTCCAGAAATTCACGGCCACCAGCTTCAGCTGAAGGAGCTCTGGCAGTACAGTGCGTTATATGTTAGGCTGACAGCTGGAGTCCTCCAGGTGCTCTGCAGGAGAAATATGGGCTGTCCCCAGCTATAAAGACGTCTAGTCTTGGAAACCCAATGGAAGGCTCCTTTGAGCTGAAATAGCCTTGTTTTGCAGGGGTTCACTTTACCTGGGCCTTCAATACTGCTGGCAAGCTTGTGTAATTCTCCCAGTTTCAAACCCTCTTCACCTTTCTTAGACTTCCACCTTCATCTGAATTCACTCGCAGTGGGTGCTGATTTCAGCGGGATATCTTCAGGTCATAAGGTAAAATTTCCCCTCTGTCAACCACTACCAGGTAAGCAGGCTTGCCTTCACCTGCAGCTGTAATAAGCCTTCCTGCTGTTGTAGTAAGGACAAGACTCCCTCTATCAAAGGTTAAGGGAGTTAACTGCACTACCAGTGCACAGGCCCATGGTCCAAAGCCACAAGCTGCTCCATGGGGAAATTTCCTCCCAAGTGATTTACTATCTCTGAAAACCCACTGGAGGGTCAGCTATGGCTTTGTTCCCACTCTATAGTATACAAAAACATCAAAAGTTAAGGGGCCCAGTAGTGCAGTGGCTAAACTGTTTGGGCTTTAACCAAAAGGGTCCATGGGACACCAGCAACTCTGTGGGAGAATTACAGCCTTGGAAACTCTGAGATATTGCTATCCTGTCACAAAGGTCTCTAATAACTGGAAATATTTGAAGGTAACAGGTTTTGGCTTATCTGTTTGGCAAGTGCCTGACGACTTGCAGAATTTCAAGGTTGCCGTTTCAACCTACCCAAAGGAACCTTGGAATAAAGGCCTGGAGATCTGTATCCAAAAGCCTTGAAAACTCTATGGAACAGATCTATTCTGACATACCTAATACGTAAGCTAAAATCTCAAGGGCTGATGGGAATGAGGTGGGTGAGAAGCAGTCCAGGCAGAGGGGTAACACTTAGGAAGCTTCTGAAGTGGGGTGACCTGTGGTCATGCCTGTGGTGAGGAGTGAGGAGGCTTCAGAACTCTGCAGGGACCAGAACAAGAGAAACCTTGCAGGCAGTCTGACCACCAGCTAGCTACTATGAACAAGTGTAAATTTGTTAATCTCGTTGAACCTATTATTTCATCTTTAAATTAAGAGGTTTTACCATTTAATAACTGAAGTAGTAGTAAGAGATCTTCAGTCAAATCAGCCTAGGTAAGACATTTAGCGCTAGCATTTAATGATGTCTGTTTTCTCATCCACAGTAATTACTAAAGGGATTCAATGAGACAGCACCTGACAGAGGACTGTTGTTGTTGTTGTTGTGTACTGTTGAGTCAGAAACCAATGCATAGCTGACCCTCCAGCGAGTTTTCAGAGGCAGTTAATCACAGGGGAGGAGACTGCCCATCCCTTGGAGAAGCTGGTGACCTCAAACTGCAAGCCTTTGGGATTGCAGTGCAGCTTCTAGCCAGTAGGCTACCAGAGCTCCGAGTTATAAATTATCTTCCACTTTTCAAACACAGACGGAAAGGATGATAGCATCACTGGAAATTATAAACCTTAGGGTTATATGGATCTGGAGCCACAAGATTAGGATTTTGTTATTGTTATGTGCCATCAAGTCGACTACAACTCAAAGCAACCCTATGCGCAAAAGCTCTGAATCTTGCTCTATCCTGAGCTAATCCCACTGTCTCTGACACATCTGCTCTCATTATTCCAGTTATTGTGTCAATCTATCTCATCCAGGCTCTTCTCCTGTGCTATCCCTCCATCCTTCCAAACATGATATCCTTCTCTAAGGGCTGGTCCCTCCAAGCTCACTGCCACTGAGTCAAGTCTATCTTACAGCCTTGCAAACTGACTAGAGGGCCAACTATTTGTCAGAATCAACTTGATGGCAACATAAAAGAGTGTAAGACAAAGAATGTAATCCTGTTGGGTTTCCAAGGCTAATCTGCACAGGAGCCTGCCCATCCTTCTCCCAGAGAGTGCCCAGTGGAGTCATTTGCAGAATTTTCTGCTGGCAACCTGACAAGTTATGAACCACATCACTAGGGCTCCTTTCATAAATACTATAGACTTCTGCAAATTAATTTTTAATTGAGCTAGCCTTTATATTCCCTTCTTTTCCCCTCAGCTGGTCTGTAAAGGCCAGAGATTCAAATTCACTAGCCACTCCATGAGAGAAGATGAAGGAGTCGGCTTCCATACCTACAGTCTCAGAAACCCTACCGGGCAGTTCTGTGTCATACAGAGCACTGTGCGTCTGAACCGGCTCCCTGGCAACAGTCTGATCTGAAAGCTATTAATACTTGGCCCCTTCTCATTCTTTCACTGTTTCTCCTTGAATTCTAACAAGCATCTTTTATAGTCTAAAGCTAATCAACATTTTCTTTTTTCCCCCTAGAACAATCAAGAACAAATACCTTAAGTCGGGCACATCTCCTTGTTGTGTATACATTACTACTGGCCAGTGCTTAACGCCTATCTACACTTTTAACCCCTCAAATTATTGATTAGTATTACTGCTTTATTCCACAAATGTTAGCTTAGGTTTGCCCATATGTTTATATTCAATGCTCTCCATTTTTTTTTCCTCTCCCACACATACCCTTCTGGAATCATCTCCTTTCTCTGCAGAATCTTAAGTTTAGAACTCCCCTGAGATGCTCCACTGATAACAAATTCTCCCAGTTCTGTTCATCTGAAAATGTCTTTATTTAGCCCTTGCTCTTCCAAGATAGTTTTGCTGAGCAGACAGATGTCTAGTTCTTTTTTCTGACAGGGTATCTATGAGGGAGCCCGTCCTAGTGTAAGGAGGGGAAGTGGCAGCAAGTTGACGGGAAGTCTCCACAGAAAAGAAACTTTGAGTTATGGGGTGCTGATGGGTGAGGTAGGACCATCGAGGGAGAGCTGATAGAGTACAGGGAGGAGAGCATCACTATGGTAGTGATGAGAGATGGGTTCTATTTAGGGGAATTGATCAATATATATAAAAGATTAGCAACCTTTTATACAATTATTCATGAGTGGCATAAGGAGCTCTGGCGGCCTAGGCGCAAGAAGCTGAGTTGCAATCCTGAAGGCATGTGGTTTGAGGCCACCAGCAGCTTCACGAAAGCAGGATGTGCAATCTCCTCCCATGGGATTAACTGCTTCTGAAAACCTGCCAGAAGGTCAGCGATGGGTCGGTTCTGACTCTATGGTACACAACAACAACAACGATTAGGTTTCTCACTGTTAGAGAAGGAAGTTACAAATATGAAACTAGAAAAGCTAAAATGAATGTTGTTAATGTGAATTAAAACTGGAAGTATCCATTTATTCTCATGGTCTCCAATCAACATACATATAAAACTACACAAACATGCACACATTCCCTGTCTCTGTCTGCTTAGATGTTCTGGAAACAGCAACAGCCCAAGAACAATTAGCACACCCTGAGACCAGATCTTTATTTCTAAACACCAATCTCTAGTAAAAGAAATCAGGACTTCTTAGACTCGGGTAGAGAACAAGATGAGCCAGGAAAGTTACAAACTACTTAAAGAATGATTGGGATACGCTAAAAAGGACACAGAAACCAATGTGCCTGGGCTCCAAGTGGCCAGACATAGGACAACTGAGTATTAAAATAAACAACAGTTAGCACCGTAACCCCTGAATAAAACAGTAAACTAAGTGTCAATCAATACTGACACAGACAGATAAGCAGGCAGAGAGGTACACAGATGAAAGAAGCAAAGGGAGAGAAAAAGAGTTTGGTAGAGAACAGGACATTTATAGTCACAAAGTGCCTCCCTCAAAAAACCACTAACTACAAAGGAGTGGAAAACATAAAATTCTGCAGTTACTTTATAGCTAGTATCACTAATAGAGAGGAAAGTGGAATTGTGTTACCCAAAAAGGATGCAACAAAAAGAACAAAACATCGTTTCTGTGGTATTCTTGTCAAGAGACAGATAGCTTGATGCTAATCAACTAAGGAATTGTTCTTCTAAATACAGTGTTGGGTAATCCTCAAAAATGTCAGAATCAAAGGAAAAACATGGAACCTTCCAACGTGTTAGGATCATAGGAAAAAGGGAAAGACTGAGGAAGAACTATTCCAGATTGAAGAAAATGAGACATGATAACACAAAGGACAATTCTCAACTGGATCCTGGTGCTATTAAAAGAAAAAAGAGGTGGATGAACAAATTAGCACAACTTGAAGGGTCTCTGGAGATATCAATGTTATTCCAATGTATGAAGGTTGATGTCCTGATTCTGTAATTGTATTGTGGTTACACAGAATAACATCTTCCTTTCCAAGAACCACATAGAAAGTACATGAGGGTGATGAGTGAGCATCAAGTGAGGAACCTATTTCAAAAGGAAAATTGTCTATGCTGTACTTGTAATATTTCTTTGACACTGTTTAAAAAATCATATAAAACACAGTGCTCATACATGTTATCCTTATTTTTTTAATCTTAGACTGAAGATTTTTTGCTTTTTTTTTGTTATTTACAAACTACTGCATCAGAATTATAGCTCCTTACCCATGTGGATCATACTGTTCTCTATTCTGTGCAGTGAAATTTAATGCAGAAGCTTATAGGAAGATGCAGTTACAATTAATTATCACAATTTCAAATCTGATGCCCAAGATAAATGTTTTTGTTTACTTTAAAAGTATATGTTGCTGAACTTAACCTCTTTTCATTAATAAAACTCATTTTATTTAACCTCTTTTATGTATTAGAAGGCCACAGTGAAATTGCCGATCTATGAATCTGTAATTTCTCAGTATTATGTTCCATATGTTTTAAATCTGCCAACTACATCTCAAGTTGTCTTCAAAATATTCCTATAAGGAACCATACAAGTGGCAGGTTACTACAGTAGCTCTATCCCAGTAGGTGTATAATGACCAGCTCAAATCCCTCGATTACGTCCTCAAAGGAGCGAAGCAAGGTAAATTAGTTTCAGTCTTTTTTTTTTAGATTTTAATAATTTTAATGAACAGTTACAGAGATTTTGGATTTCCATTCATTCATTGTTGCACTTTTCTCCCTGCCCAGTCCTCCCCCGCTGCACCCCCAGTCCCAGTTTGCTCCTCTCTTTGAAAAGTAAAAGAAAAATTCTTTCTTTGATATACAATCCCCCTGTACCCCTCCCACCGCCCCAAGTACACGCCACTATACAACCTTAATTGTGGACTCTTGTGACATAATTAGTTTCAGTCGTAGCAACTATCACTTATTAGCTATGGAATGATGCTTGATAAATCTCATCTTACTGAGACAAGGTAAATACAGCAAGCCACCTTCAAGAGCCAACGTGATGATTAATTGGAAAAAAGCATGTGAAAACCCCCAGCAGTATTTGGCTTACCACAGGAACTCAATAATTGTGCTCCTTTGCTCTTCTACGTAAAACAAACTTTTAAAAAATTAATAATTTGGAGGCAAGAATGTAAAGACTGCTGAAAATCATACTCAAAAGTCACTCAAGGTGGAAAAACAATTCATTCCTGCACATGTGTCCAGTACAGAACTTTTCAAAGAGCATGCTCTCAAATGGTACTTACCTTAACATGTTGTCGCAACCGATACAGCTGAGGGGGTAAGGGCAAGCCCCCTACGAGCAGCACTGTCTTCATGCGAGGCAGGCCACTCATCAGCTCTTTTGCTTGCTTCTCTATCTGAATGGCGAGCTCTCTTGTTGGTGTCAGAATAAGTGCAACAGGAGTTTTTTCCTGCAGAGATATGAAAAATCAGTATAAAAAGCACAAGGAATTAATTCCTGCTGATCCATGAACTAAATCGCCACAAGAACTCCCTTTATTCTTTTCAGCCCAGATGAATCTGAGACAAGTTCTTGGGCTTTTTGCTCACTGCAGATTTTTCTCCCCAAAACTGTTAAAAGATCGTATTTTTATACAGAACATAATGAAAGATCATAACTGCAGTGAGAAACAGCCCCTTCTATGAGGTGTCTACATTAATGGAGGGTGTGCTCCCAGGCCTCCTCTGAACAGAAAACTTGTCAGTCACCAGGAGATCTGGTTAATGTTTGACACGCCATCTTTGCTTCCCTCCTCTCAGCTGTCTTGTAGGTTCACTTCCCAGTTTCTTTTTTTATCATGAAATAAGTGAAGGTTTACACAGCAGATTGTTTTGCAGTCAACAATTCATATTTATTATCGTTCATGTCATCGGTTGTAATCCCACTTCTTCCCTGTTTTCTATCTCCATTCTTTTTTTCTCTTCTAATCCTTTAGCCTTCTACACTTTGTCTTTGGGCATATGCTGTCCTTTCAGTATTGAATAAGGATCCTTGCTGGTATAGTGACTTACCTATTGGGCTGCCAATTGAGTGATTTGAACCCACCAGTCTTGAGAGAAAGATGTACTGTCTTCTCCCATAAAGATTCGCAGGCTTAGAAACTCATTGAAGGAGCACCATAAGTCAGAATTGACTGGAGTGTAATGGGTTTTGGTTTTATGAATGACTAATCCACTTCCTACACAACATGCCTCTGGAAAATCTATGAACTTTGAGAAATGACAATAGTTACAGAAAGGCTTCAGGTCTTTTGTCCATAGGGTCATTATGAGCCATACTTGACTCAACGGCAATCAACAATTGCTCTAAGTGGTAATATCTCCCTAGTGTTTCTGTTCTCCTTACTCATGGGAATCACTACTTTCTTATACAACTAACTGATAAATACTGTTCTTCTTCACTCTATCATGTTCCTCCAGTAAGTTTTAACCAAGTTTGGCCACCTAGTACTTTTTTGTGTTTTCCCTAACATCATTTTCTACTACTCTTTAGTTTTTATCCTTTTTTTTCTCTATGTCACATATTTTCCATTTATTTTCCTCCTTGCCAAATCTGAGGTCACCAGTACTTGGCAAGTACTAATTACTCACAATGTTTGTTGAACTAACAAACATTATTATTGTGTATAAACTAAAGTGCTTTCTATATGATCAACTAACAGACAAAGTAAGGTAGCATTTTAAGATGAACCAAAAATAAAATTTAAGGCTGTCTTTTGCAACTGTTTAACAGTGTTCCTATTTTGGTATAAATCAGCTCATGTCTTCAAAATACAAAATGAAAGGCAACTAAACTGAGGCAAAAACTACACCCTATCTGGTCAGGTGGGTTCTCTCCAACCCCATCAGCTCACTCTTTTAATAGATACTAGAATATAATATTTCATAAGGAAAGCAATTTTGTCAGACTTTCCATCTAGAGCTCTTTGGTTCAATATAAAATTTCTTAAGTTCTGAATATTTCATTTGGGTTTATAACAAAGTTAAGACTATCATCATCAGGTGTCATCATGAATTATAGTTACCTCATGTGACTGCTTAACTGCCCCACAGGGTCTTTTGTTTGTCCACGGGAGACCACTAGGTCATCTTCTGGAGAGCAGCTGGATGGGTTTGAACTGCCAACTTTTGGATTAGCATCTAAGCGTTTAACTGTTGCACCAACAGGACTCCTTAGGGAAGGATGACATTCACTCCAGTGGTACATTTCATGAGTCTAAGACTACTGAAGGGAGCTCTGGTGGCCTAGTGGCAAGAAGCTGTGTTGCAATCCTGAAGACCCGAAGTTCAAAGCACCAGCTGCTCCAGAGGAGGATGGGCAATCTCCTCCCATGCAATTAGCTGCCTCTGAAAACCTGCTGGATGGTCAGCTATGGGCCAGTACACACACAAGTACACAAAAAGAAGACTACTAAAAGGTGGAGGGTCAGTGAAGGAGAGGAAGACCTTCAGCCAGGTGTACTGACACGGTAACTGCTGCAATGGGCTCTTGTGTGTCGGGAAGTGTGAGAAAGGCGTAGGATAGAAGAGTGCCCACATCTTTTGATTATATGGTCGCTATGAGTTGTAGTCGATTCTACAGCACCTAACAACGACACGAACAATAAGACCACTAATACACGTGAACTTTAACTTACCGCAAATAAAGCTCGAATGATAACAGGAAGAAGAAAGGCAGCCGTTTTTCCTGAGCCAGTATCGGCACTGGCCAGAATGTCCCTTCCCAGAAGTCCAACAGGAATCATCTGCATTTGGATGGGGGTTGGAACTTCATAGCCTGACTGCTTCAAGTTACGGTTCAAAGCCTCAGGGAAACGGCAATGTTCAAACTCAATAATGGGCCTTGGGACTTCCTGGCCTTGAACTACAATTCCTAGCTGCTGTTTAAGATGTTCAATCTGGTCCTCCTGAAGGTTCAAAATAAAGGGGTGCTCTCTGTAGTCATAAAAAGCACCAAGGGAAGATTCTGGCTCAGAATCAGCTTTTTGGAGGCTGCTGAGCTCTCCTTGGTCTTCCTTTTCCTTCACCTGTAGAAGATGTCTCGCTTTACACTCCAAGCTACACACATCTTCATCTGTCTTATCACAGATATACTCTCCATAACGACCACAGACAATACAGACAGGCTCGCCAGGCTCTGCCCAGCGTTGGGCTTTGGAAAATGACTTCACTGGCTCCTCGAAGAGATCACCATCCTTTGCGGCCTGCTCACACAATTCATCAGTTGGGGCAGGGAAAAGGCCTGGCTCCAGGCTGGACTCGTGGGGTGTTGCAGCTTCATCTGTAGCCAAAGTATCAACTGGAATCTCTCTGCCTTCGCCCAGCTCAGGGTCTCCTGACTGTGATTTTGTTTTCTTAGTCACACACTCTTTGCTGTCCTCATCAGCACTCCTCTTGATTTTGAGAGATCTTGGAACAAACATCTTTCAGTGTTCTGTGGGGGAAATGATATGTGATTTATTTAAGCCTTGATAAAGTTCACATCTTATGCAAAGTAACACATAGGGACCCCAGCATTAGTCTAGTGTCTAGTCTCCTTAGACTCAGACCAAAGGAATCCAGAGAACATCATGACATTCCATTTCTTCCATTCATAAATCCGATAAAAAAGACTGATCTGGCTCCACTAAGCAGTGGTGAAACATTGCATATTCTTTAATAAATAGACTGTGGAAACCCAAAATCTCTGTAAATGTTCATTAAAATTGTTTTTTTTAAAAAAAAACCTGAAAGAAAATATTTACAAACTAAAAAAAAAAAAAAAGAATGTGTGCTCACCATCTTTTTCCAGTTTACTGCCTAGTTTCATGTTGTAACATCAATTATTACAGAATTCATTAAGTAAATCCTTCGATAATATTTTCAAAAGTAATAATCTGCAAATATATTTCCTAATCAGTGTTTCCAAAAAGAAAATTGGAAGGCTACTTCATAATTGCTACTGAAGTCGTTGGTAAACAGAGTTACATTTCTGACAGAGCTCTCTTTGTCAACAGGGAAAAATTATGAACAATCCTGCATCACCCTCAGAACGTTTGGTGCAGGAGGACTCAGTGTGGCTGTCACTATGTCAGTCCATTTTGTTGGGCGACTTCCAATTAATATCTTTAAAATTAAAGCTTCAAGTCATAGAGAAAAACATTCTTTTTCACAATAGCTATCACATACATAAAGAGTGCCTATGTGCTCACCTGTTAACAGGGTTCAATCTTAGTCTACTCTAGGATATTTAACAATAGCGTTTCACATGTTGTTGTTTGCTTTACGTTCATTCAGGACTCACAATCTTGTAAATTACCTTATGTATATGCATAGAAATATTATGAAATATTATTTTAGACTGAGAAAGTTCAGACTCCGATTACAGCACTTGTTCAAGCTCACACAATTCTTTAGTGTTAGAATCCAGACACTAGGCTCCAAAGCACAAAAGCAATCCCAACTTATTTACCCAAAACTATATTTTTGCTAAATGATAGTAGTGTAATCAAGACAATTTTAAACTATCTTTTTAAATTATTCGATGGTTCACGAAAAACATTGTAGGGTAAATTGTCAGTCCACTTTACACAGAAATTTTAACAAAAATGCAAAAGAGAATACAGGATTAGGATCCTAAATCTCAGAAATAGGGTAGCGGTGGGGTCAGCTGCTAGTAAACAGTGAACAGCTTGGAAATACAAAGTCTTCAAACGACGAAACGAACACCAGGGCCCTCGCTCCCCCGTCACGCCCCTTGGCGCGCTCCCGACCTCCCATCACGCCCCCCCCTGAGCGCGCTCCCGCCCCTGCCTCGGGCGTCGCCACCTACGGCGGCCACGCGCGCACGTCACACCGCTTCCAAAGATCAGGGAAGGGGGAGGAGAGCGTTGGCGGATTGCAGATCGTGGAGCAAGCCCGGGAGGTGGGGGGCAGGGGTCACATCCTGCCTCGACGGCCTAAAGCCCCACATCCCGGCCAAATGGCAGCAGGACGGTAAAGAGAAGTAAGCTGCTTCGGCCTGCAGCACGCTCACCCGCGCTGACCGGGGACAACATCCGCTCGTGCTCGGGACAGCTCCCCCTCTGCGGCGCTGGGCCGGGCTTCCTGCAGACAAGCCCTGACGCGCTCGTCTAGTTTACGGCCTGGGCGGGGCAGTCCGGAACTCGGGATCCACTTCTCCGTGTTTTGGGAAGGGACCGCGGCGCGCCTTTAGCGCGGAGAGGAAGGCGGGGCCACGCGAGGATGCGGGGCGGGAGAGGGAGAAGAGGCGGGTCCCGGGAGTTAGCGCCTTTCTACGCCCCCATCCCCCGCTCCCGGGGGACTGTAAATCTCAGAGTCAGCTAACCCGCTGGACAAGACCCGCCTCTGGCAGGGCTCCGAGCGCTCACAGTGGAAGGACAGAGTCGGAGTTCCCATTGGAAGATTTGACGTGTGGGCCCGAGAGAGCCGTAGACCGCCCGGAAAGGCGGAAAGGGTGGTGTGGGGACCTGGCACTCTGAGAAAGTGGGAAGTTGAGGGTAAAAGTCCCCTTGGGTTAGGAAACGCTCTTCTGCTTTTCTAGGAAGAACCCGTAACCTAGAAACCAAAACCCAGCTTACGGTTCTTGTTCCCTTTAGGTTGCCCTTTCTCCGCTTTGTCGGCTAATGGAGCCGTGTCCTGCAAGCAGCTAGAAACTGAGAAATGATGGGGGGGTCTTAGAAAGCAGAGAGGGAAGAAGAAAAACTAAACGGCACTGTACCGAGAATTAATTATTGCTATTGTATCAGAAGAGTTTTAAGCTTTTTCATGTGCTTGTTGAATCATTGTGGTTGAGTCAGAACCAGCTCAGAGTTGACTGTCCAGCGGGTATTTCGAGGGAGCTGTAAATTTCCCTGGAGGAGACTGTCCACCTTTCTCTTGCCTCTAGTGGATATGAACTGCTAGAAAGGTGCCAACCATATGTTAGTGCAATTCCCTACCGAACTACGCCACCAGAGCTCTCCATTTGTTTAATACAAAGCTACATATTCAACAATACCCAAGTTTTAAAGCATAATAATAAAACAAAAATCTGAATCCACCACCGATCAGCATCTAGCGCTTCACAATTCAGTCTCTTGCCTCTTATCCTATCACCACTGTCCTAAATTTTATCCTGTCCTTTTTAGCAGTTTTATCATATTTGGATATAACATTCACAATAAATACCTACTTCTAACTTAATTGACGATCTTGTTATAAGGCATTTCGCTTTTATAATAAAATCAACTCGGACATTTTGCACATTGATTTACAACATACTGCAGTAATGTACAGTGTGGGGTGAAGCAATAGTGAACTGGCTTGCATTATGAGCATGATAAAGAACTAGTGGTGCATAGGAAAGCAGTCCAAACTCCACTGCCAGAATTGGCAAAAATAACAACCCAACTGAGGAATAGAGTATCAGTTGGATAGGAAACACATGCAACCCTGGGCATGCTCACTAATCCACTATGAGCCAAGACATTTAGAATATAGCTATCTAACCTATTTCCCAGTAGCAAACATTTAGAATCCACCAGCTGCTCCATGGGGGAAAGATGGGCAGTCTCCTCCTGTGTGATTTCCTGCTTCTGAAAATCCACTGGAGGGTCAGCTATGGGTCAGCAGTATATGACAATAACAACTTCACAATAATCAGACTGCTATATTCATATGTTTTTGTTCAAACATTCCTCTAGGTTGGATAGGCCTGGTGTACAAGTTGCCATACAGCAGTAACTTGTGGTTGTTGTAAGGCTGAACACGGTGACACTGAAGTGTCAAATGCGTTAATGGTTGGTTACCCAATGCGAACAGTGTGGGCTGGAGCTCCCCTATTAAAACAAGCTTGGAAGGAGGAGTGGCATCCACGTCCATAATAGCTTGCCTCCAGAAACCCTATGTACCTGGAGAGAGGATGAAAGACACACAAGTGTTGAGGACTCTCCTTCATAGGGTCACTATGAGTTGCCTGCAACTCGAGAGCACTTAACAACAACAACAACAACAACAACCTATTTATTAAAAGAGTTCCCTATTTGCTCCCATTTGCAAAAAAAAGGTGACCCAACAGGATAGGCATGAAAATAATCCAATATCATTATAATCACAAAGGAATAAAATCTAGCTAAAGATTATTTAAAAGTGTAGCGAATAGTATAGTGGCAGAGATTGTTAATGATTTCATATTACTTTGATCTACAATCAGCAGGCATAATAACAGCAGTCAAGAAATCAAAAGGCATGTTTCATTGGCAAAATCTGCTGTCAAAGACCTCTCTCCAAAGTGCTAAAAAGCAAAGATGTCAGTTTAAAGACTAAAGTGGGCCTTGTCCAACCCATGGTTTTTTAACTTACTTCCTATGTATCTGAAAATTGGACAGTGACTAAAGATAACAGAAGGATCTGGACCTTTAAGTTGTGGTGTTGGAGAAGAGTACTGAATATCCCACAGACTGCCAAAAGAACAAGCAAGTCTTTTGGAGGAAGTGCTTCTTAGAGGCAAGGTTGGTGAAACTTCATCTCAAGTACTTTGGACATGTTATCAAGAGGGATCAGTCCTTGAAAAAGGATATCATGCAAGGAAAGATAGAAGAAGGAGAGGAGGACCCCCAACAAGATGGAACAACACAGTGGGAGGAACAATGACCTCAAGCATATCAAGAATCATGAGTATGGTACAGAATAGGGGAAGGTTCAGATCTATTATTGGTAGAGTTGCTATGAATTTTAGTCCACTCAGTTACACATAACAGCACAATATCTTTTACTCAATTTCATTTGATATTTTGTATTTTGTTTGCCAGTTACTACCAGTTGCCATTCAAGATCTACCCTGAAGTACAGTGTTGTGAGCCCCAGAATACTATTCATGTATATACAAAGAAGACTTTATTACTATCACTATTACTCAGATATGTCCACCAACAGTAAGCCAAAGAAGAGGAAAATTAGGATTTCTATCAATTTTTGCAATCTGAAATGAAGCAAGCATGCAATCAAGATGGATTAATGATAATTAGTGACTGGAATGTGAAAGTTGGAAACAAAAAAAGAGGAATGATAGTTGGAAAATATGGTTCCAGAAATGAAGCTGGAGAATGAATAACTGAATTTATATGTTCAGTAATTTATTCATCAGATATTCTCTTTTTAAGAAACACAAATGGTGACTCTACACATGGACCTCACTCGATGTACTCCACAAGAATCATGTTGACTACATTTGGGAAAAGAATTATTGGAAAAGCCCAATATTAGCAATCAAAACTATGCCAGGTGCTGACTGAGGAACAGATGTGTAAATTAAAACTGAAGCTTAACAACATAAAAACAAGTCCACTAGAACCAAGATACAACATTGAATCTATACTATCTGAGTTTAAAAATCATCTCAAGAATAGGCACAGAACAATAGTGATCGAAGACCAGATGAGTT